TCCCAGGAAATTTGCAAGTGTTTCTTAGTGTGGAAATGAATTTAGCAATTAGTGATTCCAAATAACATACATTAATATCAATTTTAACTTTTACATAAAAATCTACCAAACGTTATAGTGTTAATATTTTTTGGTATCCATTTGCATTAACATCTTTAGCCTTTTGCATGCTTTTAGATTTTTTTATTCCCTGAAAGTTCTGAAAACACAAACTGGGGTTCTGGTCTGAGTTGTGGTTTCGTTTCTGCTGCCTCCTATGGGACAATGGGTCACCTGAGACCCTTAGTGCTGTGCAACTCCTGCCTTAGGCTGGTGCTGGTGGAGGATGCGAATCAGTGATAACATGTAAGAGCTCTTCAGGGGGTTTGGATGCAGGTGGTGACTCTGCCTCATACCTTGCAGGAAGCCGTGGTTCAGAAACTCCTGGTGTGTGGGCTCTCCTTGCTCGTTCACTTGACCATCTCCAACATGTTGCCTGTGGAGTACAACATTGACGAGCGCTTTCAAGCCACAGCTTCATGGCCAACCAAGATTACCTATCTGTACATGTCTCTACTGGCTGCCAGACCTAAATACTATTTTGCGTGGACCTTAGGTAAGTAACATGTAAATAGACTTCTCTGTTTCTGTGTTATAGTGTATCTTATAGCTAATCATGAGAGTATCTTCATTGTTTTGTTTTTTTGTGATGGGGCTTCTATGTGTTGCCCAAACTGGCTTTGCATTCTTAAACTCAAGCTGCCCCTGCCTCAGCCTTCCCAGAAACTGGGCCTACAGGCACACCAACCATACCTGGCGCAAGAGTACCCTCTTGAGGATGTATAATTAAAGACCAATTCGAAAAATGGGAGTTGTCTGGGTAGAAGACACAAGCCCCACCATTTACATATGGAGATATCCTAAAAACCAGATCAAGCCCATTCTATTATAAGGTAAAAACTAGTAGATCATTGAAGTGAGAGATATTTATTAAGTGCCGATTGAATGCTAGATTCTGTATTAGCTAGAATATATATATACTCTCTCCCCTCAAAATCTGAGTATATTAAGCTTCCATTAAGATTAAGTAGATTGGGCTGGGGATGTGGCTCAAGCGGTAGTGCGCTCGCCTGGCATGTGTACGGCCTGGGTTCGAGAAAAGATAACCCTCAATTGTGGTTTTTACGATTGAATGTGACTTTAGCATGTGAAAATGGCTAGTTTTTTAAAAATACTTTTTAGTTGATGTACTTTTACTCATGTATGGTGCTGAGGATTGAACCCAGTACCTCACGCCTGCTAGGCAAGTGCTCTGCCACTGTGTCACAACCTCAGCCCTAAAAAATGGCTAGTTTTACATGCATGAGCCAAGAATTGTGGAAGTACCTAATCTTTGACAGGTGTAGCTGGGGCCACACAGGAAGGAGGAAACTGGGATTGAGAAACAGTGCTTTCCCAAGATCCTGCCACCTGCTGAAAGGAGCCTTAGCAGACCTCCGAGGCTGACAGCTGAGGCGAGCTCCTGTCCTGGTAAAGAGACAGAGATACATGTCCCAGGACAAATCAGAACCTCTTGGATATGTGTCATCTTGTGCTTGGACCCACTGGTTACAGACCCTCTGTTCTCAACACTGTGTCCATCTGCCTTGTGTTTGGTACTTGGTGGCTGAGTGAACACTTGAAGAAGCATGTCAGTCACCTGATGCTGGGAGCAGGCTGAGCACTGGCATTTACTACGTGCTTTGTTTAGTGATGAACAAACACTTCTGAAGATTTTTTTTACACCTGTGATACCACTTAAATTCTATCTATAAACTGGGTATAGTAGTGGAGCAGTCCTGTAATCCCAGCAGCTCAAGAGACTGAGGCAGGAAGACCACAAGTTCAGGCCAATATCAGCAATGTAGTGAGATCCTGTTTCAGAATAAAGAGGACTGGGTGTGTAGCCCAGTGGTAGAGCACCCCTGAGTTCCATCCCCAGTACCACCAAAATAAATAAATAAATAAGTATTCTGTCTTTAAATTGAGACTGAATTTTCTCCATACCCACCCAGCATTTGTAGGATTTCATTAAGAAATGCATGAGAATGCCAGACATGGTGGCACAGGCCTGTAATCCCAGCACTGTGGGAGGCCAAGACAGGAGAGTCGAAAGTTCAAGGCCCATGTGGGCAATCTAGCAAGACCATCTCCAGATACAGAAACAAAAAGGGATGGGAATGTAGTACCACTGAAAGTGTTTGCCCAGCACACGGGCCCTTGGGTTCCATTCCCAGTATCACACATGAAAGAGAAAAAGAGATTCATTACTAATTATTTCTTTGCTGATTGTGACAATTAGAAGAAACCTTGAAATGAAAAATTAGAAGATTCTATACCCCCCCCCCAATATTTGGTTTGATAAGCCAGGAAAAGATTATTTTCTTTTTTCCCAGTTCCTCTTTGAGGAAATAATTTGATCAGAGCAATTTGAAGTGGAGCTACATTCAAAGAATTTTTGCCATGAGCTTATAAGGCTATTTATTCATTCAACAAATGCTTTAACTTTGTAGTGTGCTATACTATTATAGGTACTAGTGATGGTTAACATCTGCAATCTAACTTGCAGTTTAGGATCAGGCAAGGAGCAGAGTGAGGCTTATTTCAGCATCTGAGTGGACCCATCCCCTCTCCTCCCAAGCCTTTTTTTTTTATTATCCATTTGGTTCTTAAATTGGAGTTCTGTGGTATCTGGAGGTCCAGGGTATTTGCAGGAATCCAAGATTTCCAGTATCATCCTTTAATATAGTGTTTGCATTTTGATCATAATTTTTAAAAGAAGAATGGATCATGTGGGTAATTACTTTGGTGGGTTCTTGTAAATAAATATTTTTAAATTTAGTTTCTTTGATACTAAATGGCTACCTCAACAGTAATGTTTAATTTTTCATTTCAAGGTTTCTCAAAATAGGAATCAGGCTTCTAGATTTCCCACCTGCCCTCTTCTCACCCCTTCAAATAGATCATTTCTTGGAATTTGAACAGTTTTTTGCTTTTAACTCAAGTTGGCATAGCCCTGACTTGGTCTGTATAGGGACAGGTCAAAGTTGAGTTGATGCCGGTGGTTGGCTCTTTGGAGCCATGGGTCACTCACCTCAGCTCACCCTGAGGAACCTTGGGCCACCTGAGGTGCAGCCAGGCTCTTGTTGGGGGCTGGGTAAAGGGAGGCCTCACCTGCCGTTTGGTCTCTGAGCCAGTCCCCTTGGGAGAGGAGCCGTTGGTGAGGAGTTACTTCCAGATGGCAGCAGGCCAGAAAAGATGGCAAAAGTGAGCAAGTTAAGAAACCAGAGGTGGCAGCCTCCATGGAGCAGGGCCTCAGCGCAGACGCGCTGCCGTGCTGGTTGTGAGTTGCCCCATCAGTAGGCTTACCTGAAAGGCTCCTGTTTACTGGACCAAAGGCAGCTAAGCTCTTTAACCCTGACAAAGGATCAGTCTAGCTCATGTGTTCTTTTTTCCTCCAAAGTGTAAACTTTGAAAATCCTGTTTGATATACTAAAACACTAATATGGAATGAAAACAACTTAAGGATGGGGTGCATATCTATAGTCTTCTGTTGGTTTTTGGTGGATTTCAGCTTACTCTTGGTTGTAGCAGAAACAGCATAAGTTATAAAGTTTTCCAATTGATTGGGAAAGGGCTTATTTGAGGGAGAATTCAAGCAGATATATAAATCAAAGATAACTAATTGAGCATTGTGGTGAAAAGGATTAAAAAACAGATTTTGGAGATGTAGAGTGGATTCTAATGAACTAAGAAAGAAGAAAATTGAAATGAAAACATGCCTCATCTATATATTCTTCTTTATATTATAGTCAAATATGTGTCTAAAAGGAACATGGTGATCTCACAGTGGAGCATCTCCTAGCAGTTTGGTGCTGAATGCTTTTGGCTGTGTTCCAGGAAGCATTCTAGAGTTTCAAAGTTATTTTCTACACACTGTATTGACCTTTAGCCTGTTGGTGCCAGCAGGTCTTAAATTGCACCTGCCCTTTACTCATGCTTAATGTGTTATATTTCATTGATTATTCAAATTGCCCTTATTGGGGTAGTTATTTTCAATGTGTGTGATAATGTTTCTAACCTTCCTTAAAATTAGAATACATCTATTTATACTGTTTAATAATAAGAGATACATAAAGCACAACACACATCTGGGAGGATATAGATTGCTACAAAAGTTCTTTATTTTTTTGTTTTTTAACTTTGCTACAGCTGATGCTATTAACAATGCTGCAGGCTTTGGTTTCAGAGGATATGACAGAAATGGAGCAGCTCATTGGGACTTGATTTCCAATTTGAGAATTCAGCAAATAGAGGTGAGTAAATCATGAAGAAGTTATCATTCTGTCACTCTACCAGTATTTACTGATGACCAGCCCTGTGCCAAGGAACCAAGCAATAAGATGGGTACCAGAGGGCCCTCCAGCAGTGCCATCAGGTTTCTGATCAGAGAGGGCTAGGCATATAGTGTTCTTCAGACTGGGGCTTAGCTTAGTGCCGGTGTCTGAGGGACAGATGTCTTAAGCAGGAGACTGCCAGGTACTCCAGGTAGGAGGAGCAGCCTGAGAAGATGAGAGGTTTAGGCAGTTGTGAGGGCTCCTTGTGCCCAAGGTGTGCAAGTCAGGCATGCCCAGCACGGTCTTAGAGGCCATATGAGGGGTTTGAACTTTCTTGCGGGAGCTGTGGTGGAGCACTGCGGGTATGTTACAGGGGCAGGTGAGTGATTTGAAACCAGAGACATGTTCTAGAAGGATCCAGCATGTAGAACTTGTTGTCCTTACAGGCAGAGATCTGCTGGAAGGTATAGTATTAATCCAAGATGCTGGTGCCTTAAACTAGAAAACTCCCAGAGGGAATAGAAAGAAAGGAGTTCTCGGAGCGCTGTGTGTGAGACTCAACAGAACTTGGTAATGAATTGGAACCAGTAGAGAAACAAGGTGCAGGTGAAGCATAGCTGCTTTAAGCAACCAGGGTTATCGTGATGCCTCTCACTGAGATAGGAAACAAAGATGCACAGGTTTGGAGAGAGAGATAGTGTGTGTAAATCTCAGACTCACTAAGTTGTCCAGTAGGCAGACAAATGGTCAATCAGCAGAGACACCTGAGCCCAGAATTGTAATTTGGGAACTCGAACTCATAGCCCTGGGGGAAGCTAAGAGCAAGGCCAGCAGAGACCACTGAGAGAAGAGAAGGTGAGAAGAGCACATGAGGCCAGACAAGGAGGCCATCAGGAAAAGAAGCAGGGAGAGGAGGGAAAGCCAGGCAGATGCTTCGCCAGCCTGTGAGAAGCTTTATTCCAAACAGGAGAAATTGCAAGACTGTAGGTAAAAGGTCAACAGGGAACTTTATGAAAATGGCCCAGGCTGGACCCACCCAGGATCCCGGGCATGGTCAGCAGGCTCGAGGCACTGCAGTGAGGAGCTGCAGGAAGCAGAGGGCTGGCCCTGGGGAAGTTTCCCACAGTAACTAAACCTGAGTGGGGCCTCTGGGTCTTTCTCAGTTTAGAGGGAATGTGGAATAGAGAGGAGTCAGTCAACTGTCAGATCCAGAATTAGGAAATTTCACAGGACATAAGACATATGACCTGTGGGGTTGTTTTAAAAAACACATTAGTGGCATAGAAAAAGTAGAGGGTGGGAAGGGACTATTACAGATTAAAGGAGACTGTGGCCAACCACACTGCACAAATCCAGAGGTATTAAATGGTGCTAAATCTTTTGAGCAGGGTGTAGTGGGTGGTATATTTCTGAAGTCTCACCTGCTTGGGGTGCTGAGGCAGGAAGATTGCTTGAACCCAGAAGTTTGAGACTGTCCTAAAAAAGAAAAATTATTATTAATTTTGTTTGATCTAGTAATGGTTTCTAAAATGTCCTTGTTGGGCATCAATTTTGCATTATTTCCACGTGAAATGCGATTGTAGTAATTGTTTTGAAATCTTCCTAGGGGCTGGGGATGTGGCTCAAGCGGTAGCGCGCTCGCCTGGCATGCGTGCGGCCCGGGTTCGATCCTCAGCAC